ACTTGTGAGTTACTGTTGTGCTTGTAGTAAATTCTATTTGAATCTTCTGTTAAATTGCTTAACTTAAGCTATCATTTAAGTGCTGCTAAGTTTTAAATGCTGTTAAAACTTTAGACCTAAACTGTTGGTCAAGTCTGGGACTTAGTTTTGCAGAGGGGTCTGCTCTGAACCTTGTGACTCAATGGGAGAGTTTTCCTTATTTCTTTTTGTCCTTATCCTTTCCTATCTTTACCCTTTTGCCACCCACACCCCTGCCAGCCTCCGTGTAGATAATTTTTGTGTGGATTTCAGGTTTAGATTGATTAATTCTAGACTTTAGTTTGCGTTTTCTCTATGGGCTTTAACCATCCAGTAAGTAGTAGAGTGATCCTTGACAATCAACTTTGTCATGCTTTCACGTTTTTATTAAACCTGCTTTTGCTGATACCTCCACTGGTGGTTCTTTAAGTGACCCATTCACCTTAAAACACTCATTTGCCCCACTCTGCCTCTCAGAGGAACAGTGACATCAGTCTACAAAGTGTTAAAGAAGGAATTAACAAATGTTATAATACAAAAACCACACTCATGGCTAAAAATCCCTTTCCTCAAATCAGTTTTCTTCTCCCAATACTCATGGGGTTTTCTCTTACAAGTGCTGTGGATATCTGGCCAGGGGACCTTTGTGACAATGTTGTCTTCTCTTCAACAGCAGAAAGAGTGGCTCTTGTCCTAGAGCAAGGAAGGACAGCAAAGAATAATTAGATTTAATAAAAAAAAAATAGATCTGGGAGCTGGACCTGTGATGATCTCATTCATGTCTGCAAAGGAGAAAAAAGGCCAGATTTACACAGTAAAAGTGCCTTTCATGTGGAATTGTACCAAGTACAAAAGTTTCTGTACAGCCAGAAGTTTCTGCTTTGCCTAGTCATTTTCAAGCCCTGTGTTATGTAGAATACAGCTTTGCAGAGCTCTCCACACCCAAACCTCTAGGGTGATGATCACTTCTCCTTGGTAGTGCACCACTGAAAAGTGTTTCTTTCATTGTCTATTGTCAGAAGAAATGATGGGAAAGTAGTCCATTGCCTGGACCCATCCATTTTAAACAGGGTCCAGCTAACCCAAAGGAAGCTGTTTGAAGTTTCAGAAAGGCATGGGTGGGCTGTGCTTTGTGGGAAGGGACTCAGAAATCCCTGTGGGAATTACTGCGTGTATTCTGCTAGGGAAATCCAGCAATTGCATGAGGACAAAGGCTACCAGTAACAGGCCTTTCCCACTTCCTCCATTGGTTTTCACAGGAGCCCAATGAGTTCTCCATCGTTCTGCAGAAGTCCCTGCTTTGTCCTGGGTCTCTGCACTGGGATTTCCTACCAGCTACAAAGGCCCTTGGTTGCCTGTTGTCAATAACTGCTTTTAGCAGATGAAGCTTTTTATAATCCCAGACAAAACATGTTGTTAAAACAACAGTCCACTAAGGCACTCAGATCCCTAATTTAGTAATAAAAGATCTCCAGTAAGTCTAAAAGCTGAAAGAGTAGGTCCTTTATTGGGGATGTCAGATAGCTGTATCTCTGTCTAAGCCCAGCAATGAAGAAAAATGGAGCGCTGCATGTAGGAAAGCAGCCAGCTGTGATACAAATATGTCAAGTATTAGTGAATCACGTGGAGGTTTAGATGTATGGTTGACTGCTGGGATGATTAAAAATGTGGACCTTTGCTTTTAAATTAAATTTTCCAGTTTCAGCTTCCCACATTTTATTTCTGTACTTTTTATTTTTTTCTAGAAGATTAAATATCCATTTAGCTTTTTGTGCATTCTCAGACAGATGATTACATTATACATATTTGTAGTCATCATCCTCCTATGATGAAATTCATACAAATGTGGTAATTAGCCTAAAAAACCCCCTCATTATAAACCCAAGTCACTTAAACCTGAAGGAAACCCTTAAAGCTGGGCAATGACAGTATGCAAGTGAAGTACTCTGAATACCCAAATTGATTGTTCTGTCACTGCAATGAATTCCTTCAGGAAAAAAAAAATCATCTTCAGGGACCTTGTTCATACAGTAAATAGTTTCAGTTGACCACTGGCTGCAGTGAGACAGTCCAGAGCATGTCACTCCTTTTGGTGTGAAACCATGCAGCCTTCAGTCTACAGTCAGTTCTAAATATATTCCTCAAGTCAGATGTATAATGAGACATTTCATTACTTCCTTCCTTCTCAGCACATTCAGAGCAAAGTGAGCCAGGATTTGCTCTCCCTGGTATGAGCAAAGGTTAATTCTTTGCTCTCTGCCAGGAGAACCAGGATAGCTGAAATATCCCTTTATTGTCCCCCTGAACACTAGAGTATTGCAAGTCATTGATGCCATGACACTCCTTGATGACAGGGCAAGCTTGTGGTATCCCAAAATACCTTCTATATCATCCTTCTAGTGACCCATGGCATTAATTATTTATACTGGATATAGGTACTGAGATGTCCCAGCCAACCACAGAGCCCCATAGTGCTCAGTGCTGTACAGACTGATTAAGATTTGCCATGCAAAGACAGAGCACAGGGTATATAAAAGAAGGTGATTGGATTCTTCTGAGGTCCTTCAAGACTTTCCCAATCTCTAAAACAGATTAATCCAAACCGAGGCGTAACTTCCATTTACTCATGCTTGCTCAGATATCCAGAGTTCAAGCTTTACTTGAATTCCTTTCAAAATTTGTATGTCCAGCCTAAGCAGCATTCTGGACTCTGGTAAATCAAGTTGTTGGATGATGCTGTTTCTGAACTGTACCTGTCAGCTCTTGCCTTGAAGTCCAGAGAGCCACTCCATTTAGCACAATATAACAATATCTTGATTGCAGAGAGGTCTTTCCAGAAGAGTGGCATTCGTTTCCCTTCACTGGAAAGGCCAGCAAGGTAAATACCTGCTCCTGACTTGGTCTTCAAGGCTCTCATTAGCCAGCAGAGAGAATGAGCATCTCTAGTCTGAGCTGATTTATATACTTTCTTCTGAACTGTTTTAGGTACTTATCTAACTGTTCTCGAGAGCACTCATTTCTCTCTGCTTCCCAGATGTGACAGCAAAATCTGCCTCAGGCTTTCTTGAAGATTTTAAACTTATCTCTGTGTTGAACAGGAACAGTTCTGAAACCTTGGAAACCACCATGGAGGTGGAAAGCAACCCAGCTAACAAAAACACAGATGTGAATGGAAGCTGGGAGAATGAGACTGACCAACAAATATACTATTAGCACTTTCTATATTCTTTGCAAATGAATCACTCGGGTTCTCTGCTTTAAAGGAGTAATCATTCTGTCACTTTTATCAAAGTTTCCTGACAGGATTTTCTTTTCTAGTTATCCCAGACATCATCTTTCACTTACACCAGCCAGCAAAAGGAGATAAATTGGAATAAAACTTTCAGCACTAAGCAGACAGAAGGAAATGAAACTGAAAACGCACTGAAATGAAGTGACTGCTGTTAGATGTAGAGGCTGAAGTTAAATATACCTATTCATCAAAAGTGTGTAAAAAAGGGGTACATGGTCCAGGCTCCCTTTCTGTCTCATTCTCTCTCTCTCTATTCTGGAGAATAGAGCTGTGGGTGAGGTGTATTCAGCAGTGAAATGTCCAAATGTCCCTTCTTGCTTTTGCAGTATGAACTGGATCATGTAGAGCGAAAAAATGATCCTCAGTGAAGATATCAAATTGCTAAAATTAATTCTTGCTGTGTGCAGAAAGAAGGATGCTATTAGCTGTAGAGTCTGGAGTCCTGGATACAGTTTTCCATCCTAAGACATCCTCAGAAAGATGTTCCAGATACACCCCACTCATGTCTCCCTGAAACATAAAGAGACAAGCTGTTTTCAGCTACTTGTACAGTCAAGAGGGAGAAGCTGATACCTTCAGAAAGCAATGCTCATCACAGATAGCACATGCCCTGGGCCATCTGATGGGTTGATGTTGGGCCGAGGTGCTCCAGTTACTAAAAGGTGCTCTTTAGTTCCCTGCAAGAACATCAGAGATGGTGCAAAGCCAGGAAAGACAACAGCAAGGAACAGGCTGACTAGGGAAGTGGTTGAGTCACCCTCCCTGGAGGGATTTAAAAGATGTATGGATGTGGCACTTGGGGACACAGTTTACTGGTGGACTTGGCAGTCCTGGGTTAATGGTTGGACCCCATAATCTTTAAGGCATTTTCCAACCAAAACAATTCTATGATTCTGTGATTCTAAGGAAGCCATTGCAGTGTCCTTCATTTCATCAGCATAACCAGGATAGAGCTTTGGGGCACCGTCCCCACCTTCCTGGGGTGCAGTCATTTGGCTAGTGCTTGAGAAACCCACTCTGGGAGCTCTAGTGTGAGGCAGAAGGACCTGTGAGGCAGAGTTTATGGGTTATTCCAGAGGTAGTTGTTTTTGTGGATGCATGAGCCTGCCCAGATTTCTTCTGCACCTTGACAAGGAGCCCTTGTGCCACAGATGCACTGCTAGGGTGTTGCTAGTGAAATGGCTCCCCTATATTAACTTGCAGAGTATCTCAGCACCTCTTAGCGTGAAAGGCACCATAGCAGAAAGTTTGAGGAGCACCTACACAACTTGGGCTCCAGATCATTAATTACAGTGACAACTAAGGCTCTCAGAACAGTTTACCCTAGGGGGAAAAAAAAAAAAAAAAGTAATTTCTTTTACTTCCACACCCCTGATGACCAAAAAAGTGTTTTGCTCATCTTGAAACACACTCCCCGGCAGCTCTGTTAGCACCCCCGCCCAAGTGTCCCTTACATCCACTTTCCCCCCAAAGGCAGGAAATCACTTAGAAAACATTTCCCAGGTTCCTTCCTGGCCAGAGGTCATCTCCGTGTTTCGGACCAGCAGGAGTCACCGTGTTCTCTGACACAACAACGGAGAAGGAAGATCTGTCCTGCCCATCCAGCACGGTGCTTTCAAGCTCGTGTTTTTTAGCTGCAACTCCACCCCGTGCCGGTGGAGAAGGGATCAGTTCCCACTGATCGCAGGAAAGGGAGGTCACGGGGTTTGCTTGATTAAATCACCACAAGCCAAAAGGTTCTTTCTCTCTTCTCACTGAGAATTGCTCAGAGGCTGTTTAAGTTGTTCCAAAAAGAAAAGCAAAACAAAACAAAACAAAAACAAAAACTCCTACCCAAGCCTAACAACCAACAGCACACACGGAAAAGCAGGTGTGTCTCAAGATCCTGGGAAAACAAAGGGCAGAGACTGAGGCAGGAGGTGACACTTGGATGGGAAGTTTCCATCCCAGCACAAGAGGACAAGTTTGGAAAAGGCTCGGACAGGACCAGCACCTGTCCTGCAGGTATGGATGATGTGTGTGAAACGTGGCATTGTTTTAACCATTTGGGGCAGGTGAAGGAGGCTTGAAGGAATTTTCAGGGCCAGATTCTGGAAGTGTGGTGCGAGCTTTGCATGACCACCAAACCTGCTGCGGGAGGACTGTGATCGGCACGTGTGTCGTTCCGTGGTGATTAGCTGGCAGTTTTCTGTAGGAAACTTTTGGCTTTTCAGGGTGTGAATTAAGCCATTCAAGCCTCTGACGAGGTGCTGCTGCCTGTTCACCTGGCTAATGAATGTTAATAGAGGCTGTGATTAGTTTAAACTCGGGGCTGCAGAGGTGAAGAGGGACGTGCACGGAAATGCCGTGCTAATCTAGTCTGCTTTTATTACCTCTCAAACCCTGCTACAGAGTTTTAGAAAAAAAAGTCAACTGCAATAGCATCCAGATTTTTTTTTTTCCTCTTCGTTTTATGCTTACAGTGGCTGGGATTTGCAATGCATATGCAGGCACTGTAATTTTGTCGGCTCTGTAGAGCTGTGGGTTTGTTTCTTTTACGAGAAATCTCTTGCATCAGCCTTCAGTTTCATATTTAAGTGACATTCGCTGACAGGGAAGAGGGACTTGGGGCACCTTTGGCCACACGTCTTCAAGCATCACATTTGTCTTGTTTCCATTCTTTTCTGTCTGTGTTTTGAGCTGCTTAAATAAAAGCGAGTTTTATGGTGTTCTGTTGGAATGCTGGTGTGCTGCTGCCAGTGCTCAGTGTCAGGGGGGGATACAGGGATGCTTTCTGATGCTCTCACTTCTGTTGATTCCTATACACCCAAAAGCTCTGCTCCCTTTCCAAACATCTGCATTTCCAAGCAGCATCCACTGGTTGCTTAAATGGTCATGATTCAGATAAAAACACGGCTGTGGTGTAACCTTGCACAACCTTGTTTCTCTCTTCCCATCAGTGGGAAAGTGATGCCCAGCGACGTGCACAAGGAGCATTTGGGTTTGGGCAAGAAAGGTGTTAATGTTTGAACGCTGTAACTCCCAGTGACAGTTTTATGGGAGGCAATGAGCTTTCGACGGGCAAGGGAATAGCAAGGGAAAAGATGTTGAGAATTTGAAAGCCCGAGGCTCCGTTTCTCCTTCCTCCATCACTTGCTGTTGCATGATGAAAATGATATTTCTCAACCCATAGATTTTCCTCTCATCCAGAAAATTCCTCATCATCACTTAACCTGTTCCTGAGATGTCTGGCAATAGTGCAGAACAAAGTGATATTTAAGGAAATTTAGGGGCAAATCTTTAGCATCTGCACAGCAGTGACACTTGATTGAACTCAGTGATGGCTGAGTCAGTTTAGAAGAAACCTGATGTGAGTGTCTGGCATTCGTCATTATTTAGCTTCCCTAGATTCGTCTGAGTTTGCCTCCGGTGATCCAGGTTTAAAAAACAAACAAACAGAACACGCAGTAGGCTCTGGGAAGATATGTTTGTCCTGATCTTCTTGGTTATTTTTATTTTTTTAACACCTTTCAGACGGGCTTAATAAAGCAGTTTTCCGACATCTGAATTGGAGACGTGGGAAATTCCTCAAACTAGGCAGAGCTTCCTCTCATTGTTATAATACAAAGGACCAGTGCAGCCTTTACTAGAGTTCCTTTTTTAACCCATTCATCTTGACCAAGAAAACCTCCCTGCTGCTACCACCGCTCAGGGCTGTGATTCACAGTTTGCCAGAAGACAGCAGACAAGCATGGATGTGAATTGCATCATCCATGAGGACATCATTAGTTTTGTGTCTCTCTTTGCACATCATAAATGAAATGCCCTTGCACTTGAAGCTGAAATTATTTGCTGCTGGAATTAATCTCAGCCTTGTGTAAGAGTCATGGCTTTTTAAAGCAAGTGGGAAGAGCGAAACTCCTTGCAGAAAACCATTTCCAGTTTTCCAAGAAACAGTTTCTTAGGGCTGTGATCTCCAAGAGAGGTTCAATTGCCATTCATGAGCTGGTCCGACATAATTGCACGATTATTCAGAGTTTATTTCTTAAATGATCTTGCATGTGGCTCATCCTGCCTATGGGCAGTTACCACCCTTCAGCTAATCTGATCCAGCACCTGCTGTGCTGGTAACGGAGCAGCAGCTTGTCCCCCTTATCTGTGCTCAGCAACATCCTGAGCGAGGACTGAGCCAGCACTGGGTGAGGGCAGGAGCTGTAAGGGGTGTGAGAGTGGCCCTGGAGGGGTTGTATTAGGAACGTGGATGAGACTGAAAAGGCACAAGGTCGGTCTGCAGGAAGAGGGAAAACAAGAAGAGATTGCAGAAGAAAGATTTACAGTGGCTTTTTTTTCTCTCTCTGATGGAAGGATGGTCCAGTCCATGTTTGGCTTGGTGGGTTTTTGTTTGTTTGTGTGTTTGTTTGTTTGTTCGTTTTCCAGAAAAGAGCAGCTCCTGCAGAGCAGTTAACTCACTGTAGCAGGTTGTATAGTAGTTACAGTGCTATATTTGCATGTTATAATGCTGCCTCAGTGGACTTCGTTAAGGAATTTTTGACTACATTTACAGGCTATTCTGGGGGCTTGTCTGCTTGCAGTGGTGGTCTTGGAGAGGTTTCACTCCGACAACCATCCCATGACATGACATGGATGTTGTAACCTTAATCCACCATCTCTGCACCCAGTCCATACCTTTTCTCCAAAGCTCAGTTTATTCCTGTGGAAGCCTGCAATGCGTTCTGCCCCCAAACCCTCCCCAGTCCATCATAATTCCCACCTGAGCAAGACACACAAGATAGGTGTGCTGGGTCTGGCTGGGATGGAACTAATGTTCTTCACAAGGTGCTGTGCTTTGGTTTTGTGGCTGAAACAGTGTTGATAGCACACCAGTGTTTGGGCTATTGCTGAGCAGTGCTTGTAGAGCATTAAGGATTTCTCTTTTTTCCAGTGGCTCTGTAGGGAGTAAGATGGGGGTTGGGAGGGGCTACATCTGGGAAAGCCGACTCAAACTCACAGAGAGGATGTTTCAAACCATATAACATCATGTTCAGCAATAAAAAAGAGTGGTGGGGGTCAGGGTGGTCTTTCAAGGTGGCCATTGCTTGGAGGCTTTCTGGGTACACATGTGCTTGTGGGAGGTGGTGAGACATTTTCTTCACATCACCCTTTTTTTTTTTTTTTGGCTTTCATCTTTCTTTCCCTTATTAATCTTTATTTATCTCAACCCAGTAGTTTTCTCAGTTTTTCTCTTCTTATTCTGTTCTCCATCCTGCTGGCAGGTGAGGAGAAAGCGGGTGGCTGTGTGGGTGCTTAGCTTCAGGCCAGGGTCAAGCCACCACAACAGAATATCTAGCCCACCCCTTAGACACCTTCCAGTGGACCACTTTAGAACAAAGAGAAGGTTTTTCCCAGCCCAGAAAAAAAAGCCCATTTAAGTCCTTTGTGCCATTTCAATCATCTGATTTACACAAAGTAGTACTTGTTCCAGGAAGAACTCAAAGGTCAGTCACCCAATATCGACCAGTCCTGGCACTGAAGCCCTTCATTCTGCATGAAAGGGGACCTGACTCTCATTTGCCTTTTAGGTATTTCCACAGGTCTTGCTTTATGAGGCCATTAGCGCAAGCACTGATAGGTTTTTCCTGCACCAGGGTCTCTCTAAACACCCTGTGAAGCAGATACAGCAAATTCCACCCTTGTCTGGCAGCAGAGCACTGAAGCACAGGCATTGTCAGGGTCTGCCTACAAGGCTGGCTTCTGCCAACCCAGGCTGGCTGCTGCCAACCCAGGCTCTGCCTAAACCCACCTCAGCAGGAAAGAAAATGCTGTGGCAGGCCAGGTTTGGGGATGCCTGTGAGTAGCAGAGCTCTATGTATCCCCCATTTAAATCTTAACACGAAATATTAATTTCCAAATGCCTTCCCTCAAAACATAATAGAGCTGTGATCTAGTATGTAATTTACTGTCCTCGGAAATTCCTCAAAACGGCAGAGCTTCCCCCAATTGTTCATGCACAGAGGAAAAGCTCTACTAGAGTTCCTGCTTCGGCTCAGTCCTGTGACCAGAGGCTTGGCCCTCCATGACCATCAGGCTGAGTGTGTGAAAACCATCTTCATTCCAAAGATGTCCCTACGTGCCTTATGACAGGCTGTTCACAACGTGCCCCTTGCTCCTGAAACTGTTTTACTGTTCCTCCTTGAGAGAGGAATTCTTTAAATTCCTTCATGGTGTCGCTAAAATTTGGGTTGACTGATCCTGTGTCTGAGATTCCGGATGAGCCTGTGCATGCCTCAAGTGTCTCTGGCTGTAAAGTGGGACTGATGGTACTTCCTTCCTTCCTTCCCCTTGTTATCCATCCTGTTTTAAGTCTATGGCTGAAAACGTCCAATTGCTGTTCATAACCAGTGTTCCTTACTGCAGTAAAGACACACAAAGTGTTAAAAGCATGGAATCACAGAAAGGTTTGCCATGGGCAGGGACACCTTCCACTATCCCAGGTCGCTCCACGCTCTGTCCAACCTGGCCTTGGACACTTGCAGGGATGGGGCAGCCACAGCTTCTCTGGGCAACCTGTGCCAGGGCCTTGCCACCTTCCCAGTAAATAATTTCTTCCTAATATCTAATCTAAACCTACTCTCTGTTAGTTTAAAGCCATTCCCTCTTGTCCTATCATTCCATGATCTTGTCAAAATTCCCTCTCCAGCTCTCTTGGAGCCCCTTTGGGTACCAGAAGGGGCTCCAAGGTCTCCCCAAAGCCTTCTCTTCCCCATGGCTGAACAGACCTAGCTGTCTCAGCTCGTCCTTATAAGGGAGGTGCTCTGTGTTGTTACTGAAAATCTGCCTTAAAAGCTGCCTTCTCCTTTCCTAAATGCCTTATTTATGGACAACCTTGCAATGGTTGCCCCAGTACTCTTCCAGTATCGTAGTACCAAACCTAGCAAAGGCTTAATCCACCCAACTACAGTGAATGGAACCTTCCCTTGTCTCTAATGTAAGTACAGGTGCTTTTGAGGGTGCTGAAGCAGAGAAGA